GATTGTTGATTCTCTGTTTGGCTTAGTTTTTCGGATCTTTGTTGTGGAGGGACGGCGTGGTGCTTCTGCCTAGACCGCCATCTTGCCGGAGTCTCTGCCCACTAGGTTATTTAGAGGCACATTTCTTGATTTTTAAAATTAATTCCAAATTCAATTCTGTAGTAGAGAGACTTCTCTACATGATTTCAACCCTTAGAAATATGTTGATACTTTATGGCTTAACATATAGCTGATAAATGCTGCATGCACACCTGAAAATACTGTGAATTCTGCAGTAGTTGGTACAGTGTTCTGTATCAGTCCATTAGATTCCTCGTTAACTGTGCTGTCCCAATCTTCTGTATCTTTACCGTTCTTGTTCATTTTTTGGTCAGCTTGTTCTATCGTTTACTAAGAAAGTTGTAGTAAAATTTTATATACGGGCTTCTGCTTATGGTCAAGATAAAAGGTCAACTTCGTAACCCTCCTGTCTGAAGCAACTAAAAAAACCACACAATTTGTAAAACAAAGGCCCTGAGGACACTGGACATCAGGTAATGGAGGATAGTGATCCCCAAGAAACAAACAAAAGCGGGGCCCCCACCACTGTTGTTTTCTCTTCCTCAGTCAACTGACTGTAGGGAATGACCAAGGGGCCATAGGAAAGATTGGCCTGGGAAAATCTGGTGTGTTTGGAAGGGTGAACTGGGAAAAGGTAGAAGCCTTAGCTATCACGGGAGTAATCTTCTTTGGGTACAGAGGGGAGGTTGGAAGATTTTAGAAAGGGGTGCTAAAGCAGAATTTCTTCCTATGTTGCCAAGGGCCCTGGGATCTGATCCCCTGAGAGACATGGCTGCATCCCAAAGGAGAAACAACACGCATGCTGCGGTAGACCCAGCTAGCTGCCTATCCAATATCCATTCTTTCCTTCTTTATTGAAAAGAATCCCAATTTTGTTTGGAGCATTGATTGCTCAGCTAAAAAAGTTGATTTCCTAAGTACCCTTGTACATTTCCAACTAATGGGATGTTAGGGGAAATATGCAAGTGGAGCCTTCTGGAAAGGCTGTTGTTTTTTTAATAAAAAGGGTCACAAATTTGCACCTTTTCCCCTAAACCCTTCCTTCTCCTTCTTGTCCGAAACACTGAGGTGATGCCCAGAGGTGTGAAGGTCAGGCCCCTGTCCCTGACGACACTGGAGTTGCAGCATCAGCCCTGGACAGTCAGCTATGGACTTCCTGTCACAGGAGAAAAACAAGCCCCAGTGGGGTTTAAACCAGTGATTTGGTTTGCAAAGACAATTTTTTTTAACCTAAACAACAGCTAGGTGTTTGACAGACTTCATATGGTTAGTAATAATTAGACTGCTCCAATTTCTCTGAAGACAGTTAAAAACAAGGCCTTCACATCTGACACTTGTCCCAGACTAGCCTTCATGGATATTCACTATAATTATTCCATCTGCCTCCAAACACTCACAATAAAGTGCAAAGATGTTTAACGTAGATTCTTTATTGATTCCACCAATGTATTAGTAGATATGATAATAATAAACGGTACTTTTACATTCTCTTAACCAAAAATATAACAAATATTTACACTCAGTAAAAATACAAAAAGCATACAGAGGCACTGTCTTTCTAAAAGACATAAGTTTAAAGAGGTATCAAAAAATAGGAGACAAACATTGCTTGTTACAGGATACTTTACAATCACTGAATTGTGCAGTATAATTGCTATTTAATCATTACAACTGTGCAGTTTGGTTTTTCTCTTTTGCTGATAAGCTTGTCTTTTGCAGATAAGCTCGCCTTTTGATTTTAAAAGATCAACTGCATTCTGTGTATCAAAAATAAAGAAGCCTTAAAAAAACACACACACACACAAAAGCTAAAGATGAACTGGGATTCAAGTTTAAATATGTTCTGTGACACTGTTCTGAAGATTTCTCCCTTTTTTTCCAACCTTTAAGGTAATGCCAAAGGGATACATCTACTTTAACAGCACACTGTTTAGAAACTTAAAATTGTATCAGAATAACAACCATTGTTTTAAATATACAAGGAAACTTTTTCTCTCCCTTCTTTCCCTAGGGGAAAGAACACATTATAAAAAGCAGGCTTGTTTTTGGAAAGCTTCATGATCAACTGCCATGTTTCCAGCCTGCGAGAGATTCTCAAGCAGGTGATGCAGATGACAATGATGTGACTTAAGTCTCTCAAGAAAAACCATTAAAGGCTTTTTCTCCCAGATAAATATCACATTGAAAGCAATCATTTGGAAGAAATTAGTTAACTATTACCTACGACAAATTTCTGTGGAAGCATGTATTGGATTTACTAATTCTTCAAATCTTTCACTATGAAGAGACTGTTTTGTTGAAACTCACTATTTGGCAAAAATTTGCCTTCAGGGTTTACTGCTTCAATAGTCCTGACAGCTTTCAGGGTTGTGGTGGGATGAGAGAGCACTAGTCTCTCCAGTAAAGTTACACATTTATAAAATAAAAGCAAAAACTAACAGGGAATTTGGAGTTGGAGCAAATACTGGTCCGGGCTTCTATGTACCCTTCATTCAAATAATATGAAAATCAAAACCTCACTATTTTTTAAGGGATATATACATATCAAACGAGAAAGCATTTGGCTTAAGTTTCTGATCAATGTGATCAGCTGATTCAAACACAGTTAAAGCTAGATAAAACAAAGGCAGCTATAAGGTGCAAGTCCAAAACCACAGGCCTCAACTCTCTGTGCAAGATATTTTTTACACCACTAAGGACAAAGATGAGTAAGGCTTTCACTGGATTTGAAAGACCTGCTAAATAAACAGACACTGTGCAAACTGCCCATTTTTTCTGGGGTAATGGATATAAAATGGTGAGAATTGATACTCAAACTTGATAAAAAGGTGATTATAGCAAAAATATCTTTCACTTTCAGCCAAAAGACATAGCTCTGTGATCAGAGGACCACTGTTTATAGGCCAGATCACTACAGCGTGACTCTCAAACCAGGACTTACAATCCATGCTACTTTTCCATTTCAATGGACTAAGAAAGCTATGGAGCTACCTAGCCTCACCGTAATACACCTGGGTTAATTTCTAAGGCTTAAATTTCAGATTAATGTTTTCATTTTTTTCCAGGGGGATTTCTTTTAAACATGCTATTTTTCCTAAAGTGAAGAGACAATCATTTTGATGGAAAAGATGAACTACTACATATCATTTAACTCATTTAACACTTTGAATTGATTTATAATTTTAAAATGAAGGGGACAGGTAGGGATATAGAGAAAGAGAGGGAAGAGACAGCTAGGAAAAAAGAACAAACTTCTGAAGAGGAATCCATGAACCAACTAAATCTTATATGGTCACATATGGACAACTTTTCAGAAGAAAACCCATTTTGGCTCCAAGTTGATCTGGGTAGTGCATATTAATGGCTTTGGCTTTTTTTTGGTAGTAACAGAAGTTTATTAAAACTTCACTTAGCTCTACACTAAAAAACAACTAAAAAACTTTAAACTTAAGATATAAAAAACATTGTCTTTAATTTTAAAAAAATGTGAAAAATCTATCTCATCCAGGTAACAGTCACTAAAATGTTAATTAAATATTTTAGAGATCCATGCCAAACAGGCTGTTAAGGTATGTCCTCAAGGGCTAACCTGAGAAACAAGAAATAATCATTTCTATAAATCTAGCTCCTCTTTCTCTCACAGAATTTCCCACCAATTATATACTTTTGTAGGCTAAAAAGCTTTACTGCGGGCAGCTGAGAGCTGCAGGGTTTATTAAGATGGACACAGCCTGGTGCTGTGAGATGTGGGGGTGGTATGTTGCAGAACACTGCACGAAACCAAATTCATCTTCATGATTAGCACACCTCTCTGTGATTATACTTTGCTAAAAAAACGAACTCTATACTGGAGTAGTGAAAAATTTTAGTTTTGGATTTCTATAGAGTAGAAAAATAACTCTCTAGAACCCACACTCTATTTGCTGGATTTATACTTCTCATTACAATTAGATGTAGCATGACTTTCACTTCAGAGAGGAATGTGTATATGTCATTTAACACCAAAATTTCATTGTTTGAAATCAAGAGTTGCTACACATACCAATCCTACCCCCTTTTCCCAAAGGACTGACAAGAAAATGTCAGCTTCATGTAGCCTTCCAAACTGTGACCAGGAGATGGCAATATTTTTGTTCCTAACACGTTAACCTCAAAAGGCTTCCCGTTCCACTCACACTGAGACCCTAAATCGCACTGGTACAACCCAAGTTACAGCAAATCATTTCTGTAAAGACAATGACTTCTGTTTGGTCAGCGCAGAGACAATTTGATGGCCTCAAATATACACATCTGCTAACCAGAGCTCCCAAATATAAAAAATACCATAGAACTTCAAATAAGTTAATCTTCAAATACACAAGAATTTCCTTGGTATTGGAAGACATCTTGAATGCATCCATTAGCCCAAGCTATGGCACAGAAATTACAATACTACTACTAACTTAAAATAACTTGTTAAAGGAAAATCTATAGTGATATGCATCTGGATGACTTTGAATTTGTTCTAGTAATTGTGGTCCCAAGGCAGGTCTGGTGTGCAAAGTGGAGACAGATGTCCTGGCACAGCATCAACAGCTGAGGAAAGGCTATGCATCTGCAGGGATTAAATGAAAAGAAAGCATGACTCAGGCAGGTTGGTCTCACTGCTCAGAGTCCAGGCGAGGAGTGGCAGCGAACTGCTTGCTGGCAATGGCTTGCAGAATTACAGGGTGGTTCTGTCCATCCCTCAATGACTTTCAGTGATCTTCAAATGGGCCAGCCAATGGCTAGACTGCTGAAACCTGTTCATCTTCTGAAAATAATAAAAACACAATTAACTGGTAGATCAACATATTAACGAGTATCAACTAACAATCTAGTTATCTAGGTTATTTCTGTTTAGAAAATTAGTCAATTTCAACAAAGAAATCCCCTCAAATATTCTGTCAAGGCCCAGATTTTATTGTAACAACACTGGTGTTCTCTGATCACATTGCAGACTGGCAATAAACTAGAGTTTCATAACTGGTTTTAATCACTTTATTACTCTGTTGTTTGAAAGGATAAAACTTCTTCATTTTGTTAGGAAATAAACCATTTTTCAAACAACTGCCGTATGTGAAAGCAGTCAAGAGTTTTGCTAATGAGAGAACTACACCAAAGCATCGTTTCAGATATTTCAGCATTTTGATACTTGCTGTTTCAAGTTTCCATGCATTAATGTAAACACAACTCCGTTAAAGTCAAATGCCTCCTCCCAAAATGATCCCATTAGACTGGGCTGCTGTTCTATCACAAATAACAATATTTCATTTGAGCCAGAAGTATACTGGGCACACAGGAACAGGCAGCCTGCCCTCTCCATTTGGAAAACACACAATCATCTTTAGGAATTTCTTATTTTTTAAAGATTTTTAAAAGATTTCTAAAGCATTTAAAGAAAACATTACTGATTACCATAATATACCAGAGCAATTCCCTTAAGAGCCATTAAGATGATGGGTCAACATACCATCTGCTTCACTATCTGCGTCAGTCACATCTGCTAGTTTAGGATGGCAGGGCTGCAAATTGTGCCTCTGAGGCTGAGTTACAATCTTCGATGGAACACAGGCCATGGGGCTGCTACTTAGAGGAGCTGGTAGCAGTCTAGGGAGGCTGCTATGCATCATCTTTGACCTCTGCACTGCCACACTATAATCTGGAGGTTTTAGGTGCGGGTGGGGTCCTTCCTTTAGGTCCGCTAAAGAAATCCCCATGTATCCTGGAGGAGTGGGAGGTGGCTCCCTATACCTGTTGTCCTTCTTGGGTGAGGTGACACAGTACACTGGCATGAAAAATAAGCAATGAAAATGTTAATAAAAAAAAAAAAAAAAAAACAAAAAAACAAAAATCCCAAAATGCTAAAACTTTAACAATGACAAAATAGAACTTAAAAAGACAACATGAATAAATTTGAATACAATGATAGCAGATTAAAAACATTTTTAAAAGCTTAATAAACTTAATATTTAAACCTGTTTTTAAAGTACATATTGATAAACTACATTAAGTTTTATAAACATGAAATAGAAGGAGAGCTAAAAGAGATGACATTGATATCAAGCTTCCCTCTGCAGTTCACAAAAGTTTGCTAAATTCTCAAAGTAACACCAGTCCAAAGATCACTGAGTCAGAAACATTTAAGAGTTCACACTAAACCAACCACTCTCTGTTGATTGCGAAGGTTTTCACAGAAATGGCACTGGGCCATCTGTTTAAAGGCTGTGTCACCCCCTCTCTGAGACATGCACCACTGTTTTCTGGCATTCCTGGGCAGACTAGAGTTCTCAGTCCTGGCACATAAACGACTTTAACATGCCTGGTACACAGGACTAATCCTTCAAGGACTTTACTTCTAACTTCTGTTTTGTGATTAAGTGAAGAAGAAAAAAACAACAATTTTAGGAAATTCACCTTTAATTAAGTTTCCCTGATTTTCAGTCGGGGCTTTGAACAGGTTAGGTCTTGGTTGGAACCCCTGCTGAGAATTTGCATTTCTAACAAGTTCCTAGTCAATGCTAATACTGCTGGTTAGGGACCAATTCTGAGAATCACTAGTAGAGCAGTGGTTCTCAAAATTTATTATACATGAGAACCACTTGGGGACCTTGTTAAACTGTAGATTCTGATTTAGTATATCTGGGGGTGGAAATATAAATTCTCAGCAGAGGTTCGAACTGGAATGAACTGGTTTGAAGCCCTGTTTCCAGTGGACATTAAAAATAATGGTGATTTTATGTTGGAGGGATTGTGTAGAGACTCGAACACTTATACACTGTTGGTGGGAATGTAAAATGGTACAACCACTTTGGAAATCGATTTGGCGCTTCCTTCTTCCTTAAAAAGCTAGAAATAGAAGTACCACACAATCCAGCAATCCTGCTCCTTGGAATATATCCTAGAGAAGTAAGAGCCATCACACAAACAGATATATGCACACCCATGTTAATTGTAGCACTGTTCACGACAGCAAAAAGATGGAAACAGCCTAGGTGCCCATCAATGGATGAATGAATAAACAAATTATGGTATATTCACACAATGGAATGCTATGCAACAATAAAGAACAACGAAGAATCCGTGAAACATAACATGGAGAAATCTGGAAGGCATTATACCGAGTGAATTTAGTCAGTGACAAAAGGACAAATATTGTATAAGACCACTATTATAAGAACTCAAGAAAAGGTTTAAATACAGAAGAAAACATTTTTTGATGGTAACGAGGGTGGGGTGGGAGGGAAAGGGTTATTCACTAACTAGACAGTAGATAAGAATTATCTTAGGTGAAGGGAAGGACAGCACACACTACAGGGGAAGTCAGCATAACTGGACTAAACCAAAGCTAAGAAGTTTCCTCAATACAACCAAACATTTCGAGGGACAGAGTAGCAGGGGCAGGGGCCTGGGGACCATGCCTTCAGGGGACATCTGGGTCAACTGGCATAACAAAGTTTATTAAGAAAATGTTCTGGATCCCACTTTGGTGAGTGGCGTCTGGGGTCTTAAAAGCTAGCAAGTGGCCATCTAAGATGCATCAATTGGTCCCAGCCCACCTGGAGTAAAGGAGAATGAAGAACACCAAAGTCACAAGGAATGTATTAGCCCAACAGACAGAAAGGGCCACATAAACCAGAGACTTCATCAGCCTGGGACCAGAAGAACTAGATGGTGCCTGGCTACCACCAATGATCGCCCTGACAGGGAACACAACAGAGAGTCCCTGATGGAGCAGGAGAAAACTGGGGTGCAGAACTCAAATTCTAGTAAAAAGACCTGACTTAATGGTCTGAGACTTGAGGAACCCCAGAAAGCATGGCCCCTGGACTCTCTGTCAACACAGAATTAAAACCATTCCTGAGGCCAACTCTTCAGACAAAGATTAGACTGGACTATGGGACATAAAATGATACTGGTGAAGAGTGTGCTTCTTAGCTCAAGTAGATACATGAAGCTAAATGGGCAGCTCCTGTCCGGAGGTGAGACGGGAAGGCAGAGAGGATCAGGAGCTGGTTGAATGGACACAGGAAATCAGGGGTGGAAAGGAAGAGTGTGCTGTCACAGTATAGGGAGACCAATTAGGGTCATATAACAATGTATGTATAAATTTTTGTAGGAGAGACTAACTTGAATTGTAGACTTTCACTTAAAGTACAACAATAAAAAAAATAATGATAATAATGGTGATTTAAAATCCTTTTCCTAAGTTTGCAAACCCTGGGACTAAAGCAAAACTTCAAAAAACATCAGAAATAGGTTAGACAAAGATGAACCTCCATGAAATTAAGACCAATCCACAGGACAAATGTCTCTGAATATCTTGATCATGCAAGTGACTTTTAAAACACAAACACTATCTATATAAAAGCAGAACATACCAAAAAAAGGACAATTAAATTACTTCTAATATTATTTTTCCCTTTAGAGCATCAGGTTTGTCCATATGGAAGTTTCTACAACTTTACCAGTAGAATTTGCATGTAATACTAAGGCCAGAAAGGATTTCCATTCCCATTTGAGGAAAGGGAAGGGGTGAGGTAGGGGGTTGGCTTGCCAAGGGAAGTAAGACAACAAGAACGAAGAATGTAAGTGACTTGCTCTGTCACCCAGAAATCAAAGAAATGAAAGGTTGTATCTGTTTTACTAAATGGACAAGAGCTAAGTTTTATATACTTGCACACACATTGCTTACATATACCTATAGTGGTTAACTAAAAGATTTTAATAATAAACCCTTGGAAATAGTAAACAAGCTAAAAACCCAACCTATAATGCAACTGGACAAGTAACTGTAAAATGAGCACATTTTCCTTTCTCAAATTACGTAATTAAATGTAGTATCATGAATATTCTATAGAACAAAGTATTATGAAAATACTGATGAAAAGTACTGTCTTTACACATAAACAGAAAAGCAGGTGCTATTATATCTAGATATTCGCATAATTCAGGGAGGAAATTACAAAAAAAAAAGTATTTGATAGCTAAATAAAGAACGCACCACGAAAGCTGTGTGTGTGATGAGAACGGAATTCACAAACAGGAGGTGGCCCATCTGTGACATGCACTAGGAAGGTACATTAAACAGTTTTAAACTTCCTTATCATATTTTCTCCCATTTTTACTACCTAAATGTAGGATCAGATTCAATGCTTCTACCATGTATGCACAGCAACTTCCAAGCAATTTATGAAGTGACAAAGAGAACAACCCCTTTATTACTACTGCATAATAACGCAATGATATTTCCTCAACTAAACCAAAAATCTTAAAAGCAAAACAAGGCAAGCAAACCTGTCCCCCTAACTAAATAACCTCACCACTTTTTTTTTTCTTTTCCCATTTTAATAGGCTTGGGTATCTACCCCAAACCCCTTGAGAAGTCATGAACTTTTTGGAAATAACTTGTTTGTGAAGGGAGGAATGAGCAGTTGGAGTGAGAGAAGGGATTTTTGCAAGAATAAATTCTGGACCAAAATATCCCAGTGCCATTTTTTCATCACTGAATCTCTAAACGCAACAGATACGACAAAGGACACACAACTTACCAATTAAGCCCTTTTCTGTACTTGAAGTGACAGTTTTGTAAACTGGGTCAGTGCTATCCTTGGCATCCATGCCTTCAGATGGCTCAGCTGGGGTGTTCTCTGACACTCTCCGTTTAACTGTCCCATAGTTCGGTTCATATGTGTCAGACAGAGAACTGGAGGAGGCCCAACTCTGTCTCAACTGATTTGTCTCTACGCTTCCTTTACAATGACCACAAGTTCTAGAGTAGCCTACAGGAGTAGGTTCACAGTCGGTGGGTTCAACTTCAGCAATGGGGCCATCCAAATGGGTATGTCGATAGGAATTCAAAAAATCCCAGCTTTTTGGGTTTGGAAGGTTTTGGAAATTATCATGGGAGCTGCTTGAACAGGAAGTCCAACTTCCACGACCACTGTCAGCTGCTTCTATAATGATATGCTCATGAGAAATCTCTTCACTGCTCATAGAAGATGAGACAGCTAAACCCCTGATCAGAGATGGCTTCGAGAGTGTCCACCTAAAATTGGAGATAATACATAATTAAAAGTAATTTATTGGCTTACTGGAAAAACTTTCTTCTCTTCACTGCAAGAACTACTGCCCGCAAGAGACTACGGAATATGTATCACAGTAAGTGTTCATGCTAGAACGACCCTGTAAAAATAATGACGCTAGAATCAATCATCACTAAACTCTTTATCGGCATTAATGTTAATACTCAGCAAGAAACATCCACTGAAGATAAACAAATGCTTAGCAAGGTTTCCTCAGAATTTTTCTTGAATTGATTTTAAATGAAAAGGCAGGGATGAGGGCTGAAATTGATAAATTAAGTACACATTTTTATTCTTGGGAAGTCAACATAATACTAGATTGGTCTCCATATGTACAGAATTAAGAATTCCTATCTATAGGAACCATGTTTTATTTTTCCATGTACCTCTGAGGTGAGCCGAGTACCAAACCCCCAAACTCATTGCCACTGAGCTGATTTCAACTCATAGTAGCCCTATAGGGCAAAGGAGAACTGCCCAATAGGGTTTCCAAGGCTCTAAATCTTTACAGAAGCAAACTGTCACATCTTTCTCCCAAGGAGCCACTGCCAATCTTCCAGTGAGCAGCTGAGTGCTTAACCACTGCACCACCAGGGCTCCTCGAGCTGAGTACTCACTGCCATTGAGTCGATTCCGACTCACAGCAACCCTATAGCGAGCTGAGTAGAGTGCCCAGTAAATAGCAACTTCCCCTGACTACCTATAAATGAACCTTATCATTTATAGCAGAGGTACGCAAACTAAGGCTTACTAGTCAAATTTAGCCAACAGCCCGCTTCTGTATGGTCTCAAACAAAGAATGGTTTTCATATTTCAAAAGGGTTTAAACAAAACAAAGGAATTTGAGACAGAGACCAAGTACAGCCTGCAAAGCGTAAAAATTACTATTTGGCCCTTTATAAAAAAAGTTGAAGAATGCTTGATTTATAGTATAGAGCAGGTGTCAGATGACCATGTCCTGCAGGCCAGATCTGGCTGTGTGCCTGTTTTTGTAAATAAAAGGTCATGCCCATTGTTTACGTATTGTCTGTGGCTGCTTTGGTGCAACAATGGCAGAGTTGAGCAGCTGTGATGGAGACGATATGGCCTGCAAAGCCTAAAAATATTTTATTCATTATCTAAGTCTTTACAGAAAATTTGCTTATCCCTAATATAGAAAATAACTGTTTAGAATTAATCTTTACAAATAGGATGACAATACTTTACCATACCTTAATTTTTTCATATGAAAATATATGGATTTAACAATATTTATCAACTTTGAATCAACTTCCTTAAAGATTTCCATTTTACTTTATTGTAGATAGAAATTCAGAGTTAAAATTTTTTAAATAATTGACTTATGCTAGCTGATTCTACTTACTCCCCAAATCATACTTTCGGAGACTAAGGAACAAGCACTGGCCCTACCTCTCAGCCTGTCTGCAATGTGCAAAGCACTGGGGGTTCTTTCCATTCCTCCTAACCTTTCTGAGCAATCTCTAACCTAACACCAGAAGTTCAAGAATCACCTCCCCCATGTTAATAGTTCTTGTTGATCTAAATGATACATAATAATAGAAAGCTACTGTGAATTCAGTAATACTTTAAAAATAAGCACCCATACATCTTTGAAAATAGCACTTATTTGCATATTGAGTATAGAGAATATATGGCTTGGTCCTCATACTCTTTTATGGATCTCCTTCCAACTACCCCATGGGGGTCTAAGGTCAAGCTGGAGAGCACTGCTTGCAGTGGCCAGTTGGCTTGGGTTCTGTGATATGAACACCTTCAAGGAAGTTTACCCAGGGCCAAGCTGGCTGTGGTCTCCTATCCCCGAGGGCTGCTCTGTCTTTTCCAATGCCCCAGTGGATTCAGGGACTGCCAGAGCCTGTAAGGAACACCGTTCATCCTGCAGGGCTGTAGACATGGAGTCAACAGAACAATTGCTCACGATGCTGGACCGTGAAGAAATCTCGCTATGACTGGAGTCAGACAAGTTGTCAGATTTAGCTGATGGTATAAGCGTATAACCTGAACGAGAGAAGAACACTGATCAAACTACAAAGCAAGGAAATGAGTGGGGGTAGGGTCAGGGAGAGGGCAAACAAAAACTAAAAAGACTAAAGACAAAGTGAAGAGCAACCTCAGTTTCCAGTTATGCAGATGTAGTGATGCCAATTTTTTTTAATACACATTCCCATACATATCCATCCACCCATCAATCCAACTCCAAATTCAAGAAATACAAAGTCAACATCCAGTATCACTGAAAAAAACTAGTCCAAAGGTATGTCTACCCCAGGCTCTGACATAGCTAAGCTATAAGTATTTACTAAAACAAGAAAGTATTAAATATATTATAAAACTTTAAAAAGTCAATGTCTTAAGTTTCTCAATTTTTTTTTTCAATCCCATGGCCCCTCTTCTGATAAACATAAATATTTCATGCCCTGACCTAAGAGTCCAAAATACCACCTTGAGGTAGGGGATGGGAGTGAGGACTCAAGGAAAAGAATTACACTTTTGTTTTTTCAAACTACATATACTCTCCCCAAACATTCTGCTTATGCCACCTACGAAGTCCTGCCCTGAGTTGAGAATCACTGTTTTAGTATTTTTTTTTATTGATGTTTTAATATTTTTAAATAAATCATTTTAGATATGGACTTAATATTATATATAGTTTTCTTTTTCTTCATGAATTTTGCAGAATATCACATTATACAGCTCAGCTGACAGATTTATAAGAATGCGTTAGGTAAAAGGCCCAGCATCTACAGGTTTTAAATTGTCCTATGACTTATTGCTCAACAGATTCTTCGGAATAAAAGGGTGGGGATGGAATGAGGTAGAAGCATCTGAAAACAAATCAGTACCGTGAGTTAAATGTACATAATAGTCTATTTTGATAATCTGAAGAGAAGAAACCAAACTTTTGTTTAAAAATAAAATGTTCAGTAATCCTGACAGGGGATAGGTCTCAGAGAAGCAAACAATATCTTCTCGTTGACAGAAGAGAATGAGGTTCAACAGGTACATGACTTTTGGATCAGTCCCCAGAAATCTCACTAAGAAGAACCACAGGCCTTGGGTATGTTACTGGAATTCTTAGGGCCTCAGCTTCTTCACACATAAGATCCCAGATCCTTCTCTGCTTTAAGGATCTGAGAGTTTACTCACATGTAACTCTAAGAAAAAATGTTGTGTAATAACCTTATTAAGTAGTTTCATTAACTGTGTGAAACAGAAAAATTAAAACCCAGAAAATGTGTTATGTGTATTTAGCTTTTGGGGCCAGGAACAAGCCAAGCCAAGCCAGTCTCCTGACTGCTATTCCAGTTCTCTGAACTTACGATCGTCGCTGTTTCTCAGTGCCTTTCATGAACTGGTCAATTTTCAAAAGGCCCAAGAAAATGAATGTAGTAAATAAGTAAAATAAAAAATAGTCTTCCTCAAAAGAAAAATCATTGCTCTTTTGTCCTAGGGACTAACAGACATGTTTTACTCTTTTAAAAATAATTTCATCCCTATGTCTGATAGATGAGTATTTCTCAAATATAATCAATTCTAAGAATCACCTGGACAGTTTATTAAAACATACCACCCTGGGCCTGTTTCTGGCAATTCAAAATCAGTGGGTAGGACACACTGATTGCATTTTTTAATATGTTACCCAGATGATTCTGAACTTGCTGTATTAGACTCTCTTCCTCCCTCCATCAGAGATACGTGAAAAGTGGATATAAAAAGTGTATATCAACAAGATACAGTTTCTTGCCTCTCAAGCACTTTTTTTTTCTTTTAACTTGTAAAGTAGTTGAAGTAATAAGATTGCAATAAAAATTTCTGAGGCAATGACTGCGACCAGATCATTATTGGGGCTTTTATGGTAAAAGTGAACACTGGTTTCTAACAAGCCTTCTCTACTTAGTTCACTCACAGACCCAGCTGCTACCAATAAAAATAAAGCCAACTACAGAAGACAAGAGTATAAAGTTTACTAACTCAATACAGTATCAAAATAACATTGTACAAATAAGGCACTTTGAATCAGTATCACTTTGCTGCTAGAGGACCTCCAACTTAACACTAACCATAAAATGGTCATAAATAGTATTTTACTAAGGTGTCTGCCTATGTCATTTGTCAAACAAAGCTTAATTTATAAGCTACATTTTACATTAGTAACTGAAAACAAATTTAACACTAAAATTATATAAGAAACTTCATCACAGTGTCTTTCTTCTTTTAGACTTGAATCGCATATAGAAGCAGTTTAGAGTGTTACTGTTGCCTCGGCTATTTGAATTGAAGATGTCACTCCCTTTCTCATCTTTGATGTTGCTTCCAACATCCTTTACTTTCTCACAGCTTTCTGTAGCTTGATTGTGATCTGCGTCCTCTTTTTTGCTGTTGGCTAGTCTCTCCCTTGAAAGAGTTCTTTCCCTAAATCTTCTAAACGGGGATGTCATTCTTTTCCTGGCTGTGTTCTCACAACTTGTCCTGTCTCTATTCTCCTCAGTGGCCTTCTCGGTCCTGTCTGTTCTTTTGGCTGTGCTCCTGGTAATCTGAAGAATTTTCTTTTGCAAGTAAACCCCACCTATTCCGGGGCAGCTCTGGCCACTGATCGTGGTGCTGGACTCACGGGGAGGGGATGAGGAGGACCCTGAGAGGTGCAGCAGGATGCTGTGATCAGATATGATACTGCCAACTGGAGGGAGAGATGCAAAAACCCTGACATGGTCAATTAATTCTTTCCAGTTAATCACAATTAGCCTGGTTTATATAACATTTCACTACTACAAAATTCTAACATCTTGACAATATGTAAAAACTGAAATCTAGCAACTTATTTTTTAATGCATAGTCTACAATATAGCATAAACACATCAGTCATTGCAAGACAGAACACAGAACGATTCACCTTGATCAAAATAATTTGTTAATAAAAACTTCTAAAAGCAAGCAAAGCTGGGGTAAATTAATAAAAAATATAACAAGAGTATCATATGACTAGAATTATTTCTAAAAAGTAACTGTGTATCTAGAATTTTCAGGCAGATTTTACTAAGAAAAAGCTAAGTAAAAATCAAATAGGATACATAAATAACATATACAATAGATGTGTTTATAATGCACAATTTCTGATCCTGTTGTAGCTGAGGTGAAGAGGCTGCCTTCCTTATGCATTGGGGAAGATAAAACTTAAGGCCTCTTGACTTCTCACTTTTTCAAAGCTTTGGCTTCTTTAAATTTTCCTTGTGAAAACACGATGCTTATTTTTTTTAATTGTTGGGAAACAACAAATTTCAAAGTTCAGCAAGAACTTGGAACAGATCCTAATAACATACACTTAGTATAATGATGACATTTTCTTTCAATCATAGACTACTGACAAAAACCTATCAATGGAAATACACAGAAATACACCTACTCCTCACTTATTGACTATCTTGTTATCTGACATCTCACATTTACGACAACAGTAAAAAATCCAGTATCCAACTATTCTGCGCATTAACGATGTATGTCTGGCAGTAACGAATGCCAAGGTGCGAGGCAAGAGTAACGCTGGCTGTGATGGTTAAGGTTCTGTGTCAACTTGGCTGGGCCATGATTCTCAGTGGTTTGGTAGTTACATAATGATGTAATTTGGCAGTTGTGTAATGATGTACTCATCCTCCATTTTGTGATCTGATGTGGTCACCCTCCATTTTTGCATAACGTCGATTTTCGCATAACGATCTGGTCTTTGGAACCTAATCATGTCGGTAAGTGAGGAGTGGGTGTATGATATTTGGTTGAGGTTTTGACAGACTATATATAAGGACAATTAGAAACACCTTTGAAGAGAAAAATTTCTTCAAGTTTCTAAGAATTCTAAATATGACTATGTGACAGGATCACAAATCTATAAACCCCATGGTCAACTGTAGGCTATAGCCTGAAAGATACTACAGAGAAAAGACTTTTTTATTACAGTGGTGAGAATGGATTTTCTGTTGAAAGTAACAGCAGAGGGGAATTTCTGTTCCTACTACCTCTTCCCAAGTCATATTTAGGCATAAAAAATTGGTTCAGATCCAACTACTTTCCTAGTTAGGTAACTGTCTATAATAGCCTCCAAAAGAGGTGTAAAGGTGTTAGTGGAAGAGCATTAAGAGCATAGGAACACTGTTCATTTGGACCATCTGTCTGACTGGAAGCACGATTCCCAGTCCGGCTCCCTGAAATCTGATAAAAGGCACTGTGGATAGGACCTTACAAACAGGTAAGGAAAGGAAACAGATCTGTGTGTCTCACAAAATCATCTATGAGCTATGTCTTAGTTTTCTAGTACTACTATAATAGAAATACCACAAGTGGGTTGCTTTAACAAACAGAAATTTTATTTTCTCAGTTTAGGAGGCTATAAGTCCAAATTCAGGGTGCCGGCTCTAGGGGAAGGTTTTCTCTCTGTCGGCTCTGGAGGAAAGTCCTTGTTTCTTTGAGCTTCTGCTCCTGGGTGATCTTCACATAGCTTGGCATCTCTCTTCCCCCATCTCTGCTTCTTTCACTTGTTTGTTTAATCTCTTTTATATCTCAAAAGAGACTGATTTAAGACACACCCTACACTAATCCTGTCTCGTTAACATAACAACACCACCCATTCCCCAATGGGATTATATCTACAGACACAGGGGTTAGGATTTACAACAAATGTTTTTTTGAGGGACATAATTCAATCTGTAACATTACATCCTTTGGCCCCCCAAAATTCATGTCCTTGCTACATGCAAAAAATACATTTACACCATCACATCAAAGTCTTAAATCAACTCTAAGTCCAAAATCTCATCTTCTGAATAATCTAAATCAAATACGGGTGAGACTTCAGGCACATTCCATCCTGGGGCAAAATTCCTCTTCATCAGTGAACCTGTGAAATCTAGACTACAAATTATCTGTTTCAAAAGTACAATGGTGGAACAGGCACAAGGTAGACATTTCCATTATAAATGGGAGAAACTGGGGTGAAAGAAGGGACAACAGGCACCAAGCAAGTCTGAAACCCAGTAGAACAATTTATATTAGCTCTTGAAGCTTGAAAATAATCCTCTGTTCTTTGTGACCATCTGGGCAATGGCCCCACCCTCCTGACTCTGGGTGTTGGCCACGCCCTCTGGATTCTGGTGGAGGCCCCTCAGCCCTGGGTTTCAGCTCTGCCTTCCAGGCCCTCTGGGATGGCAACTCTGCTCTCTCAGCTTTAGGTGGCCCCATTCTCCTAGTCTACCTGAGTGGTGACCCCATCCCCTTGGCCTCAGCACGCCCCATTCTTTTGCCTCTTGGGAATGGCAGCCCCACTCCCTCAGCTATGGGTGGTGGCCCTATTCCCTTGGCAATCTTAACGGCAGCCCCACACTCTGAAACCAAGTTGGCAAAGATCTGACTCTTTGAAACCTTGGAAGGTGTAGCCCCACCCCTGAGATCCAAGAGACGTGTCCCCACCCTTTGAAACCTAGAAGGACCTGCTTCCTGTGCTCCTTCCAACAGTTCTGCTGATCTCCGAATTGCTCCAGGGATGGTCCTTTTTTTTTCTTGGAAGATAACAGATGTAGTTCCTTTGGCCTGTTTCCTGCCTGTAGAATTCCAGGAGGCAGACAGTGTTTTTTCCTTTTGTTCTTTCTCCGTCCCCTTCAGTCTGAGCTGATGGGTTTTCTGCTGTGGTGGTTGGTTAGATCCATCAGTCACAGGCTTAATCCCTTTAACAAAAAATTGTGTAGCCACGTCCTTGGTGAACATTCTAGAACACATGTCCTTAGTTTGTACAACAGAATTTTCCACATCTTTAAGTTCTGTTTTCATTTTGCACAGTTCATTTTTAAATCCATCTCTTTCCTCTCGAATTTTAGTATAAGCGGCAAGGAGAACCACGTGGCCCCTTTAAGATTTTGCTTAAAAATCTCATCAGCCAGATATCCAAGTTCATCACTTACAAGTTTACCTTCCATCAGACATTTGAACATAATTCAGACAAGTTCTTTGGCACTGCATAAAAAGCATCACCCCTCCTCCACTGTCCAATCACATGTTCATCATTTTCTTTTAAAGCCTCACCAGAGGCATATTTAATTTCCACATTTCTAGCAACATTCTGTTGCTGGCGCCATGTGTATTCTCTAAGATGACAGAGATTTCCTCTATAGCTCTCCTCACTTCCTTCTGAGCCCTCATCCTCATCAGAATTGCCTTTGACATCCATAATTCTATCAAAAGTCTCTTCAATGCAATCTAGGCTTTTACTATTAGGCATCTTAGAATTCTTCCAGCCTCTGCCCATTACCCAATTCCAAAACTGTTTCCACATTTTAGGTATCTGTTAGAGCAGACCCCAATCCTGGTACCAGATTCTGTCTTAGTCATCTAGTGCTGCTATAACAGAAATACCACAAGTAGATGGCTTTAACAAACAGAAATTTATTTTCTCACAGTTTAGGAGGTTAGAAATCCAAATTCAGGTGCCAGCTCTAGGGGAAGGTTTCCATTCTCTGTTGACTCTGGAGGAAAAGTCCTTGTCTCTTTGAGCTTCTGCTCCTGGGTGTTCTTCATGTGGCTTCGCATCTCTCTTCCCCCATCTCTGCTTCTTTCACTTGCTTGTTTAATCTCTTATATCTCAAAAGAAACTGACTTAAGACATACCCTACACTAATGCTGTCTCGTTAACATAACAAACACAACCCATTCCCAGATGGGATTATATTCACAGACAAAGAGGTTAAGCTTTATAACAGATTTTTGGGGGACATAATCGACACCTATTATATACAGGGTAGTCCCTGACTTATAACATATTCCAGTTACAAAGAACTGCACTGAGACTGTCTTTGTTTTTTAACATCTTATTGGTAGTAATATATATGTACTACACACAATGTTGCAGCACGTAATATGCTGATGTTATCATTCTCAGATATGCATTCATTCGCAGATGTGCAACATTATGATTTACTGTTCAAAACACTGCTGTATAGCAAGCTAGGAAAACCAAAAAAAAAAAAAAAGAGGTATTTGACTTATGTCAGAACCGACTGACAGTGGAGTCATTGGAATGGAACCCTGTTGTAAGTCAGGAACTACTTGATTTTTACGAAGCTTTTCTTAGTAAAATCAAAGTGTAAATTCTAGCCGGTCTCAGCTATGCAAAGTGAGGAAAGGGCTGGTGAGTAATGGAAGTATGTTGCCCTAAGGCTGACATCAGGAAAGAAGAAACTGCAATTTAGTAAACATTTACTAAATTCAGGCTTCAGAAATACTATCTCATCTTATATAAGGCCCCTAAAATAGGTGGTCTTTTTTCCCATCTGACAGGAAACCTGCTGCTTACACAGCTATTGAAGGACAGAGCCAGGATTCAAACTTAGGTCTGATGTCACTGTATCACACAGGTGGCAAAAAAATAAGAACAAACCCTTAAAGGTAAGATAAAGTTTCAAACATGGAAGCTGTTCCCCTCCTGCTAGAATTCATAAGCTTGTCTTCCCTCTGACCATATACTATCCTGTGCTGTTATTTAAAGATGCAAATGCTTTGAATCTGTAAAGAAGATATAGGACTAAGGAGCCTTGTTCCCCAAGGTACACAGAGAGTGTGGAAGGACCAATGTAGGAAATACATACTCTACTGAGAATGCTACATGTGCAGCTAACGTGAACTGACATGCAACATCCACATCTACATGCAAACTACTCAGCCTAGTCAAGGAGCTTCAATTTGCATTATGAAAAAAATATATAAATGAACAAGAGAGATTTCAGATTTTTCACCTCAAGAGGTTCAGTATTAGCGTACATGTAAAAATCCATAAAGGTGTAGATTATTTTAAGTCCTGATTAGCAAAAAGGCAATATTCCATTACTAAAGAAAAGCAACAACCTAGATATTTGTTTTTTTTTCCCTAAGTCTTGCAGTAAAAACAATTTCTTGTAGAAATTCTTATTTGCAAACCTCCATAAAAATATTTAAATATTGAAAATTTGAATGACTGTAACAGATTGCACAGAAAAAAACAACTGTGAATTCTGCCTTCATTCTTATCTATGCTTGTCCTCTGTCAAAGAAGTTAAGGACCATACTTTGAATACCAGAGTTCTTGCTACATGATGCATAATACCTGGAACGTATCTAAATAATTCAGTTCAAAACACCAAAGTTTAAAAAGTAAGTTTTAGGTATTACACTTTTCTTAACGCTTTCCATTACTGCTATAGATTGAAAAGCAAAATACATGCTAAAAAGTATTGCTTGGTAGAACATGAACAGCTTGAACTGTTCTGTCTTACCTTTGTGAGGGGAACCTTGCGGAGAAGCAGGAGGACTAGAATGTAAGGATGATGCCACAGAAATAGTGTCTTCTGTGTATTTCTTACCACTTATTTCTTCAGTTGTTCCTGATACTTTCTGAGGTAAACCTGTACCTAAAAAGAAAACCAAAGGAGTAAATAATGATCATTTTGCAATTACTATGTCCACAGTTGCCTCAATTATTACATAACTAAAGCCAAGATATACAATGGCTAGTGCAGTAAATTGAAATGTGTGAGTGACCAACGGGGACTAAATGACTGGGTAATGGCATACAGAGATTCTCACCCCTAGGTTATTTAATCAGATTCAGCTGGTCAGCACAAAGCAGATTATAATAGTTCTTTTCTGCTTGATAGCTTTGCACAGGGCTTTGATTCAGTTTGGTCAGGTTCAACCTCCTGCTGAGAATTTGCATTTCTTATTTATACATAAAAATCACCTATCTTGTTAAAATGTAGATTCTGACAAAAGGATCACCTGGGGATCTTGTTAAAATACACATTCAGATTCAGTACATCTGGGGAGGAAAAGCAAATTCTCAGCAGGGGGTCAAACTGGAACGATACCTGTACCAAGCCCTGGTTTTGTGGCGTAAGGGAGATGGATTTAACAGTCTGAGTACAGTGCCCCACCTCCCACGACTGACACACTTGTTCAAAGTCTGAATAGAGAAGTCATGGGTTCAAACTCTTCTCTCCCCTTTAGAAGTGGCCTTTCCAAGTCAGGACAAGGCACGTGGTCGTGGCAACATGGGATGCTGGCCCTGTCACTACCTGTGCTGAGTCTGTTCTGTGGGAATACAGAGGAGGCTGCAGGGCTGCCAGTCCAGCCCTTTTCAAGAGCACTAAATTCACGCTACAGGAAAGAAGTAAACAGAAAGAATCATGAATTTATAGAAAAATAGTATGAAGCCCGCTGGAAACATTCGTGCAAAGTCCTATCTAATCCCCTGTCCAACAGCTGGCCCTGTTTAGTGTAGGTCAAAGTTTAGTAAGTTTCAATATACTGACATTTTCACATATGTCTTCTCTAAGAAATGTCAAAGAGCTTTTGACATTGTTCTTGACCAGTAAATTAAGCACAACTTCGATGAGGATTCGGCATAGGAACAAGCAGCCCGATAATGAAAAAGTTTAAATCACAGTGTACTCACACTACTCCTTAATTAAATGCATTTTAATATATTTATTATATAAATAACAGACATATATATCACAACAAGAGGGAAGAAGAAGGCTACCTCATACAAGTCATGCTGCCTCTCAGGGGATGACACCAGAATAAAACCCAGAGCTGGGCTCTTCCGCTCTCTCCTACCAGCAAGTGATGTATCAACTTTTGCCAATTTTGCATCAAATTCTCTCTTCATTTCCATAGTCATCAAACTAGCCCAGGCCCTGAGGACCCTCTGATTAGCTGTTATATCAGCTTTCCATCCAGGCTCTCTATCTCCAGTCTTGCTGCCCTCCCTACTACAGTCCTATTTCAAATATAAACTGGCTCTAACCTTCCCTTGCTCAAATCTCTTCAATGCTTCCCACCGACAACTCTCCCTTAGAATGGTGCGTTATAATATCTATACCCTTCACTGTTCTTCATTGTGGGAGGCTATGTAGTATAGTGGTTAAAAGACGGGCTTTGGAGTCTTCCTGGAGTCAACTAACAGTTCCACCTCTTACTGGTGGTGTGTAAGTTACTCAGTCTCTGTATGCTTCCTCTGTAGGATGAGGGTAATACCATCTATCTTGTAGGTTATTATGAAGACTAAATGAGTTCATGTATATAAAATATGTAAAGCACTTTAAACTGTGTCTGTGCCTGATGCTCAGTAAGTGCTCTGTGTTAGCTATTATTATTACTGCCTCTCAACACTCTGCATGCAGCTTTGTACTCAGAGGCAGCAAATTGCTTATAGCTCCTTGCAAACACCATGCTATTTCATCTACCTGAAGCAACTTCCCTGGACACTTTGCCTAATTACCAGTTGCCATCAAGTCGATTCTGACTCATGGCAACCCCATGTGTATCAGAGTAGAAGTGTGCTCCATAGGGTTTTCAATGGCTGATTTTTTCGAAGTAAATCACTGGGCCTTTCTTCTGAGGTGCCTCTGGGTGGACCTGAACTTTCAACCTTTTGGTTAGCAGCCAAGCATGTTAACCATCTGTACCACCCACGGTCTGGTTGCCTAATTACCTCCTTCCTAATCAGTCTGTCAGATTCTTCTTAGATGTTATCTCCAGAAAGCCTTCTCTAAAGCCCCACCTTACCTCTACCTGGGCTAAAAGCTCCTTCTCCTTTGTTCTTTTATATGTTCTGTATATAAACCCTGGCACAACAGCACACACATTATACTGAAGTTATGTTTGTGAGAATGTCTATATCACCAGACTGGAAATCTGGCAAAGGAGGGTACAAAGGAGGGGACGATTCTTATTCAACTTTGCATCTCAAAGCAAAATCAATTAAACTCACAAACTTCTACTGAATATGTACTATGTATAATGCATGGGATAAGTACTAACACTAGGAACCAAATCTAATCTAGCTTCCAATCTGAAAGCTAAAATAGTGGTACTATTAAAACAAAGTAATTTGGATAATGTCCTCATGGCATAGTGAGAAAAAAGAAGTGTGATTTATGAGAAATATATATTTTACATTCTCGTCTTGCCTAACTAGATTTTCAGAAGTGGTCATTAATGAAAAACCAACATAAAGTTATTTTTAGAATAAGCATCTTCACTCTCATAGTTTTCATAGGCTGCATTTGCACTGGCTATTTGATAAATGCTCCTTCAAGCTTTTCAATGTAGTAAGCCCTTGGCACTCAAGATGTATCTCTGCAAGTTTTCTGTTGATAAAATTATACAGATTTCAGCATTAGAGGAATTCCAATGTCAGCATTTAACAAATGTATGCTGTTAGTGTATGCTGTCATCAAACACCTACAGACAAAATGAAACATTTTTTGCTGCTTGAAGACTATATTACACAAACTACAATAGCTGATCTCCTGAGCATTTTTACATTTGTAATTATTTTTCATTCTAACTCCCCTAGAAATGTCAATTAAATGAGTGTAATACTAATTGACGCAAGGATGGCGAGACTTCATCTCACATACTTTGGACGTGTTATCAGGAGGGATCAGTCCCTGGAGAAGGACATCATGCTTGGTAGAGGGTCAGGGAAAAAGAGGAAGACCTTCAACAAGATGGACGGCCACAGTGGCTGCAACAATGGGCTCAAGCATAAAAATGATTGTGAGGATGGTGCAGACCTGGCAGTGTTTCATTTTGTTGTTGCACATAGTGTCACTATGAGTCGGAAACAACTCGATGGCACCTAACAACAATACTAATTGTGAATACTCACTCAGTGTGATAGGGTCTTTTGTTTGGCCCTTCTTCCTGATGGGGTGCAAATTAACAGCTGGCACCTGAAGCACTTGGCTCACTCTGTGGGGCTGATGCAGGTGGGCTTTGGCTGTTTGGCCCGCTGACCTCATAGGTGCTGGAGACATTTCTGATGATTTGGCTGACTTTTTCTCACTTATATTCTTGGTCACTAAAAGGAAAGAGTAAGAAATAGGTGATACTGCACTTTTTTGGAGAAGTTATTATTGCTGACAATAATAATACATGTTTGCTTTAAAACCATTCATTTTCACAGAAAAAATAATTTTCTTAAAAGGAATTTCATTTAAGTATTATAAAATGTTATCTCTAAAATTTTTTGTGGAATCATTTGTTAACCTTACTTCTTAAATAATTCTTGAATCTCTTAACTCAATTATTGCCATCTCTACCATCATCCTGAAGGCCAAGCGAACATCCTCCCATCTATACTACTGAAGCACCCTCACCGTAGCAATTCTAGCATCCCTTCAAGCTGTTCTCCATACAGCAGCAGAGAGACGCTTCCAAAAGGAAAATCTGATCACTTCCCTTCTCCATATGCCCTGCATAAACCTTCAGATGACTTACCACTGCTCTCAGGATAAAGAGCCAAGTCCCTAAAACAAGGTCTATAAGACCCTGCGTGATCTAGCATCAGCCCGCCCCCTTGGACCATGTACCTGCTCTTTCCCCAATCCCATACCCTCTAGGTTCCTGTTAAACCAGCCTTCATTCATTCCCTAAGTCAGAAAGCTCCTCTTCATTTATGTAACACCTGTTCCATCTTTCCGATAACTTCGTCACAAATTTCAGGGAGCCCTTCCCTAATTTCCCACAACCTGCAGCAACTAGATTAGGCCCCATTTTATGTTCTCATGGTATCATGTATCTTTCCTTCACGGTGATGAGCACAGTTTGTAACAATGCAATTATCTGTGTGATTAATTAATGTCTCTTCCACCACTAGGCTATAAACAACATAAAGTAACGACTGTGTATCTTGTTCATTACTATATCCCTACGTTCCTAGTGACTGCCAGAAAACAAGTGCTTAATAGGTATTTGCTGAATGAACAAACAAAAGTATTTCAATAACTACACACAGCAATATTAAACACACTGTTTTATAAATTCCTGGTTAGAACATTTGAAAATGAATTGTCAGAATTAAAAACTGAGAACTCTGACTTAAACAAAAAGTTGCTGCCTTTGTATAAAATCAATACTGCAGTCTAAAGGAAAGAACTTCTTCCTTCAACAGCACGTTTAATTCTTCAGTCAGTTATTCAGGGTCCAACTTCAGTACTCCAAGACCTATGTGTTTTAAATACCAAGATAAAAGCAAAACTAGCATGTTTAAGCTGTGCCGGCACAGCTATTATGCTTTTATCATGACAGTCTAGAGTATACTTTGGGTGATAAGAATTAGGGAACATTTCATAAAGTCAAAACATAGGGAGTACTAGAGGATAATATACAGTGGCTGAGAACTGAAAATTTAACTTGCAGTTAAGAGTCATAAGACACATTTTCCCCCTACTCTAAATACTAGTCAATCCTTTACTGCATCTTACTTTAATGATTGTTAGAATAAAAAGAAAAAAAAATCAAGAAACTACTTTAAATAAAAAAGAGTTCACAGATAAATGTCAAAGACCATACACACACACACATGCTTGGCTGCTAACCAAAAGGCTGAAAGTTCAAGTCCACCCAAAGGTACCTCAGAAGAAATGCTCGGTGATCTACTTCTAAAAAATCGGCCAATGAAAACCCTATGGAGCACACTTCTACTCTGATACACATGGGGTTGCCATGAGTCAGAATCGACTTGATGGCAACTGGTAATTAGGCAAAGTGTCCAGGGAAGTTGCTTCAGGTAGAGGAAACAGCATGGTGTCTGCAAGGAGCTATAAGCAGTTTGCTGACTCTGAGTACAAAGCTGCACGCAGAGTGTTGAGAGGCAATAATAATAATAATCGTTAACAGTTAGTATATGCGTATTTGTGTGTGTATATATATACACACACATATATACATACACAGACTAATTTATTAGGAAGAATCGAATCTTATAATGCTTAGGAATCAGCTATAGTTTGGGCTTGGGAATAAGGTCATTATTTAATTAAACATTTAGAAGTCAATTATGCAACAGAAACCAAATTAAAGGAATATGTACTGAATTAAATTTTTTATAAAACCTACTTTAAGAAGGACAGGTCCACAGATTTTCTCATTTCAAATCAATATTAAATATCTAGTGAAGGATACCATTTAGCGTTATGAGACAGAGAACAAGTCTGGAAGTGGTTGTGGAAAATAGGGAGGTATGCATGTGCAGTGTGTGTGTGTGCGTGAGACAGACATAGAAAAAGGGAAGGGAGAATGAAAGGGTGGGTATGTGAGATTTTTCTGAGTCTCACAATTTTAACCATGAGCAAAAGCATAAAAGAAATGTCTACAATCTTGAATATTAGAAGTCAGATTTAAGGAACAAAGAAAACCAGATAACCAAAACAAAATAAACTTTTATCACCTGAAAGCAGGAAAAACAAACTCTGTTCTACAACCACAAGATGATGAAGTCTATATTGAATTATGTGGGAAAAAAAATAATTTTGGTGAACATTCAAAGCAGGGTTAGCTCTGAACTTTAAAACATGAATAAAATTTAAAGGTTCTATACTTTTAGTCTTTACTTTCAACATGTATCATTTTCACATGGCTGACAGTATTTTTATTTTTTTAATTAAAACAATTAGTACACATATTGTTTTGTGACATTGGTTACCAACTCCATGACGTGAACACCCTCCTCTTCTTGACTTCAGGTTCCCTATTTCCAGCTTTCCTGTCCCCTTTTGCCTTCTCATCCTTGCCCCTGGGCTGATGTGTCCACTTAGTCTTGTTTTGTTTTATGAGCCTGTCTAATCTTTGGCTGAAGGGTGAACTTCAGGGATGACTTCATTACTGAGCTAAAAGGGTGTCCGGGGGCCATACTCTCAGGGTTTCTCCAGTCTGTCAGGCCAGTAAGTCTAGTCTTTTTTTGTGACTTAGAATTTTATTCTACCTTTTTTTCTAGCTTTGACTGGGACCCTCTACTTTGACTGGGACCCTCTACTGTGATCCCTGTCAGAGCAGTCAGTGGTGGTAGTGGGGCACCATCTAATTGTGCTGGACTCAGTCTGGTGGAGGCTGTGGTAGTTGTGGTCCATAAGTCCTTTGGACTAATCTTTCCCTTGTGTCTTTAGTTTTCTTCATTCTCCCTTGCTTCCAAAGGGGTGACACCAGTGGAGTATTTTAGATGGCCATTCACAAGCTTTTAAGACCCCAGACGCTACTCACCAAAGTCGAATGTAGAACATTTTCTTTATAAACTATGTTATGCCAGTTGAGCTAGATGTTCCCCGAGACCATGGTCCCCACAGCCCTCAGCCCTGTAATCTGGCCCCTCAAGGAGTTTGGATGTGTCTATGGAGCTTCCATGACCTTGCCTTGGACAAACTGCGCTGGCTTCCCCAGTATTGTTTACTGTCTTACCCTTCACCAAAGTTACCATTTATCTATTGTCTATTTAGTGTTTTTCCATCCCCGCCCCTCCCCTCCCTCATAACCATCAGATTGTTTCTTTTTGTGTGTAAACCTTTTCATGAGTTTTTATAGTAGTAGTCTCATACAATGTTTGTCCTTCTGTGATTGACTTATTTTACTCAGCATAATGCTGTCCAGACTCATCCATGTTATGAGATCCTTCACAGATTCATCATTGTTCTTTACTGTTGTGCAGTACTCCATTGTGTGTATGTACCATAGTTCGTTTATCCCTTCCTTTGTTGATGGGCATCTAGGTTGTTTCCATCGTTCTGCTAATTGTAAACAATGCTGCAATGAACATGGGTGTGCATATGTCTATTCACGTGACGACTCCTATTTCTCTAGGACATATTCCTAGGAGTGGGACTGCTGCATCATATGGTATTTCTATTTTTAGCTTTCTAAGGAAGCGCCGTATCGTTTTCCAAAATGGTTGCACCATTTTGCATTCCCACCAGCAGTGCATAAAGAGTTCCAATCTCCCAGCAGCCTCTCCAATATTTGCTATTTTCTGTTTTTTTTTTTAATTTGGGCTGACACTATTTTTGACATCACATGTGTGGTAAGAAATTTTCCTAGATACCTTAATAGTCTATATAAATTTATTATTTTTAATGGCCATATGCCATCCCTTGTACTGATAAGGAAACAATTTACTTAACTATTTTCTAGCATTTTAGTATCTGAGTGACTTCTTTTTCACTGTAATACATATCACAACATCTTTGTATAAGCAGGTCGTTTTTGTACATTAACTCACTGGAATACAGTCCAAATAGTGGACACCTTGGAGGCAGCTGTGAGGAGTAAATGGAAATATTTACGAAGTGTTTAGCACACTAGCTGGAATATAGAAAGTTCTCAATAATTGTTAGCTTTTCTTTAGTTCTTTCTCCTAATTCAATACTTTTGATGTAGAAAGCATCACAGAGCTAAAATGTACTTCTAACTCTAGTCAAAGTTTTAAATTTGAGAAAACAGAAATCTAGGATGAAAAGAACCTTGCTCAAGTGGTAATAAACAGATTCAAACTCTGCCTTTTTCCTTTGGGTAGGCGTTCTTTCCATCACATTCCACTCCTTCTCCTATGGGTAGAGTGTTCCAGGTATTTTAAATTCACTGTCATACTTAAATCTGTTATCAGTATTTGCTTCTATTTCCATTTTCTCTATTCTATTCTACCGATACACTTTTTGTATTACTATGCAAACACCACTTATCAATCTTAGGGGTCAATTCATGATGACTACCATCCCCCGATATTAGGGACATCAAAAGAGAAATTCTGACTTTTGGTTCTACATTGTCAACATTTTATCAAATTCTATGTATCCTATTGGGATTTTTACTGGCATAACATTTAGCCAAAATTTTAACTTAAGAACTAAAATCTTTTTTTTTTTCCCTATAAGAAACAGAGTATATTTTACCATCGTTTATTTCTGCTTTTACAACTCATGAATTCATTTACACAGAGACATATACAATTTGTTGTTTGTACTTAATTAATACAAAATCAATACTGAGAATGGCATCTTTATTTTTCCAATTCTAGATATTTTCTCTAGATAGTAACAATATCAGAATGTGCCTAATTTTTCTTGTTTTGCCTTATTTACCAATACCTATAATACACCTATTACCTCTAACAATGTTCTAATTAAATTTCTTATATTTTCTAGTTGATAAATACTATTTGTGAAATGTAAAAAAAATAAATAAATTTTTTACTAACAAGTTTACTCCTCATTTAGAAATAAAGGTAAAAATTTTCTCTAACAGAAGAACTTCTTTACAATGCTCCAATTTTTACAAGAATTTTAAAGAAGAATGTTGCTTCCTGGTTTCAACCATAAACTCTTTATCCCTCTATTTCTTGCTTTAGAGTAATCATCAGGAATGGATGGGATTCAGTATCTTATTAACAAGATCACATGATACTTAGGGGCATGTCAGTAATCTTCTGTAAGGAAAAGTTAACAGTCTTCTTGGGAAGGCAGCATAATTTTAGAGAAACAAATTTCTTTTTTGTTGTGCCTTTTAGTGCTACACAAGTTAAACTCAGAGACTGGTACTCACAGGTGCCATATGCAGGCTCCCACTGTAATGACATTATCTGGAACTTCTCCTCATCTGTTTCCACAGCCAGACTAGAAAGATACTGCTTCACTTTCCTTGCCATTTGAGCATCCTCATACAGCTTCTTGGCATTAAGCAGGGAGCTGCGGCGTGCCCTTTTTTTGTGAGCACCTCCCTGAACATCCAGCATGTTTGAGTTTGTGCTGCCTTGACTCAGTGACCTGTAAGAAGAGGGAGATCTCAATAAGGGGCTGTAAAGATGAGAAATGTGGCAGATTGAAGAGTAAAAGAATTTTGTTCTGTTAATGCTACTGCATGCTGATGCAAATAAGTTAAAAGATAAAAAGCATTAATGCAAAGTAACTTGACACACATGGCGATGTTCTGAATTAAGAACAAGATTTGGCAAAGGTCAGAATTCAAAAGAATAAGGTAACAACCCCCACCCCAAACATATGTCATAAGACCTGTGTTTGTGCCTATATAACCCATGACACAAGGAAAAGCATTCTTCTAGCCCTGGAGGCCATCCACATTTGGTGATATGACAAAAGCCTGGGTCAGGATAAGTCTATCTGTATCAGGGTTCTCCAGCAAGGGAGCTTCCAGAGAACCTTGGCTTGTCTGTTCTGCTGTGGAGATGCTATTGCCATCACCATTCCTAACTACAGCAGGCCTATTCTAAGCATGTTGGCCAACCTTATCAACAAATAGATTTTGGTCAAAATTCAAAGAGAACAACCAGTAAGATACTAGCGAAAAATAACAGCATTTACATTCAATGAAATATAGTTAGAGATTAGAAATGCAGTTAAAAAACTACCTAATGCTTCCACTCACATACAAAATGGAAAGTAATGTTTGGGTTCTAGGACTGAGGATCTGGGGCCTCTCTTCTGCAATCCCTCGGAATGTGATGGAACTGCAAGTTAGGGAGAAATAATCACAATTCAAGCAAGCTACAGCTTCACCTAACTCTACCCTCCTTGGCAATCAGCCTTCTACGATGACTACATCTACAGCCAATAGGAAACAGGAACAGTAATGCTGTTGTGCCTTCTAATAAGGGCAGCATATACAAGGTTCTTGGATGATTTTAATTTTGAAGGCAGTTGCCATGACAATAACTCAAAAATAATACATGTACCTATGGGTTTTCTAAATGAACTACATATTTATACAAAAATACTAAATACACAGACCACAATCATATAACTTTTTCTTCAGTGCTCACATATCCAGCTTCAGACACCCAAATCCTAATCTTTTCATTATAAATCAAGTGAAACATAGTTGAAAAAAATGTTACGGGGCTTTTTTCTTTCACATTTTAAGATCTCTGAAATAGGGGTGTGCCTTACATTCAATGGCAACTTTCAGTTGCCACTGGTCAGACAAAGGTTGTGATATTGCTGTTATGGCTTACATACGCACAAACATCAAAACTTGCAGAATGGTTTAGAAGACAATCCAATGACATTAATGAATCACTTTAAACCTCCAGGAACCAAATAAGTGTAAGAATCCGACAAGTTTAACAATATTCCCAAAGCAGGTGTCAAAAGGAGGTTCGCTTTAAGTATTTGGAAAGCCAGTCTAAGAGCCCAGCCAGCACCAGTAGCTCTAGTTCTCTTATGGCTTATTTTAAGAAATGCTGTATCACTAACACACTTGATGACACAGAGGGCAATATGAATTGGGGGGGGGGGAGTGGGGAGGACACTGTTGACTTTAGAAATGATTCAGATTCTGAATATTAAGAAGTTTTAGAAATACCTCAATTTACTTTCCTTATATTTTCCTTTTATGTATGCACAAGGGTGTTATAGCATAAAAACCCATGCGTAAGTCTATAAGAGCTCTTTCAGTAAGTATAAAACAAAAATTCTTAGTGGTAAGAAAGCATTGCAGTGATTTTTTTAGTGGTACATAAAACAATGGATTATCTAACAACTGATGATGCTTTGGATTCAAAGAAATACAGTAAAATCAAGACCCAACATTTAGGTCCAAATTTTAATACAAGTATTTAATGTTTTTTTTTCTTGATTGATATCAAAAATAAGAGAGGGTATCCACCAATCTAGGACAGATACAAACTAATAAATGAAAATACTATGATAAATGATAATAAAGTATCTTCTAAGCTACTTCCAAGACAGAAAATGCTCTGACGTAAAAACAAAAATACTTAATGCTGCAAGCATCACACAGTATGATCCTAAAGCTGAACAAACAGAGAATGTACTGTTAGCATAAGTCATTCATACACCCCAAAGACCCACTAAGATATATGGTCCAAGTATTCTTCTTCACAATAGTAATGCCAGGCAACAATTTCTACCAAGACATAAATGTATACGTAGATGAAAACATATGAGAAGTACACATCAGGGAAAGAGGAAGAAAACAGAAGAAAAATCAGCTTCACCTTGCTTTAACAGAAAACAAGACCACAAATAAGACAAGACTCAAGTTAGACACTTAGAAAGTGGCTCACAAAAACAAAAAAAAAAAAAACAAAAAACCCCTTCTTATATGTTTTAAAGGCATCTAACTTCATGATTCACTACAGTCTTAAGATAACAAAAATTCTTCTTATACAATCCCTTCTTCCACAAAAGCCATCACATTTCTGGGCCTCTTTCTTCATCTAAAAATGAAAAGACTAGATAGTTGATTTCTAGGATCCTCACATTCTGTGATTCTAAATAGATAACCTAGTTATGTATGAACAGAGACCTGAACCTACTTAAACAAGAAAAGGTAGCAGTTTCTGATTCTATCACAGTTTTAAAGAGATAAGGGAGTCTTTAATTAAAGTTGGAAGAATTTCAAACGAAATTTAAATAATCTTGGAAGTCTCATGGTATTAGTGAATCTGAGGAATTAAAATCACCTTCTAGTTCAGTTATATATTAACTCAATTTTACAGGACAGCTTGGACAAAGGCCTCTTTTTAAAAACAGATGGAAAATGCAACTGTTATAAACAGACCTCTTATCCATTTTTATACATTTATATATTTACTTTTATAAGATATGGCATTTGAATAAAATAAAATGGCTTGAACTCTGGAATCAGACTACTTAGGTCTGGATCCACCATTAATGAGATATAAGACTTTGGGCAACTCTATCTTTCCCATCTGTATAATGGGAATAATAGTAGCACCTACCTTCACAGGGTAGACAGAGAATTAAATAATTCATTTAAAGAGCTTAGAACAGTTCCTGGCATATAGCAAGGACACAACAAATATTCACTATCATCATCATTTAAGTGACACCACTAAATTAAAATCCAAAAGGGACTTATGGGATATTGACGATGGAAAAGTTATTAAAAAAAAAAAAAAAAAAAAAAAGCTAGCTCTATCACTACTTTCATCTTGTTAGCAAAAGGCATTTTGTCAGGAATGTAGGCTGACAGGGTTAATAGAACGCATGCTATTTTATGTGCGTGCATTAATGAAAAAGGATGCAGTACATGTTAAAAGTTGACAACCTTCATTCCAGTTGCGTTCATCTCTACACTTACCCCAGACTTCGCCACCTCTTCTTCCTGTAAGCAAGAGCCACAAACATTGAAGCATGTGTTTGAATAGGAAAGCACAGAAAAAAGACAACAGTTGAGAGTCAGAGAAACTACGGAGACAGAATAGACCACAAAAATTTTACTAGGAAAAGGTTGAAGCTTAACAGTAAAATGACTTTAAGGGAATGCAGGGGAGTAAGATGCATTATGATGTGCACTGAAGGCCATTAAAAAAGTTAAGAAAAATATGCTTTGGACCAATTATATATTTAATACCTAACTCTATCTAGAGAAGAAACATTTATTTACTATAAAGTCTTTAGGAAAGGAAAGGAAGGGGACAGAACTTCTTTTCCTGAAAGTATTTTGAGTCACTCATTTAAGTGGTAGGATGAAATTACAAGAAACATTAAGATTTATAATTTCATTTTTAAGCTCAGAAATTTCTCTGCCAATGTATTCTATAAGAAATTTTGAACAGTAAACCTAAACTAAAATGTAAATAAAAATATAACATCAATATCTAGTGTATATCTTTATAATACTGTTACTAAACAAAAATGGTATTTTTCAGGCAGCAAACTGATTGTGTTAAAATAAAAGGGGTTACTCTGTCCACACTAGAAAACACATACCACTAAAATGGACAATTATTTGCTCAAAGAAAGATACTGCATTTCAGTACTGGCTGACAAATAAAACTGATTCGGGGAAGATTCAGTGCAATCTAATTATAAATGTTTTATTATTCCCCTTGACTTATTCCACTCGGTCCAGGCCATCCTCAAGAACACAAGCAGGTTTATTCATTTCCTCATTCATTTTTTCTCCTTTGCTCATTTCTGAAGCATAGCTGATACTTAGCGCATTATCAGCTGGGCTGGGAGGGTCACAAATGCATTGTCTTCAGGGACTAAACTGGCAACATGTATGAGTGAATGGAGGTCAATGTAAGATAACAGGGAGTGGTGTGGCCACTGTACAGCTTTTAGAAATGCAACAAAAACAAAGAAACCTGCCTCCAGGTTTGCTTTGGTCCTGGTTCTTATTGTATCTGCTTCTAAACTCGAGCAATGACATCTCTCATTACATGCAGTGATCCTCAAGGGGATGATAAGAAAGGGGATGGTTAAGAAAGAGGAGATTCTGGGCATACCCCTTCCTCCATACTTTGAGGATCTTTGAACTAGAGGAACTGTCAGATCAACTACTTACAAAAATAAAGACTCTTGAACAGTGATTTAAACAAAACAAAACAAGCAAACAAACAACAAAACACCAATTCTGACACACACTGATTCTGTTTGGTTACAGAAACTTCAACTGTGATTTTTAAAGAACAAAGTATTTTTGTTTCCATCAGAGTATATATTTTTAAACCACAGGAATTGTGTTTGCCTCTGTAAATATTTTATTTTTTAAAGCTCTTATAAACTGGAGCTGAACATATAGGCCCAGAGGATAATCAGACCAAAAATTAAAACCCTAATGTCTATTTACCCTGAAAATTTTAACGATTACTGGAAACAGTCTGGCCACTTTGTAATTTGAGGAAGCCTTTGTTATTACATTAAAAATAAATTTTAAAAAAGCATTCTTAGAAGATCAGGTTAATATGGAATACAAATAATATTTTCCACATGTATCAAAGATCGAACATACTTAAAATTTGCAATTTATAAACTATATCAAAGAAAGGAGCCCTGGTGGCGAAATGGTTAAGCATTCTGCTGCTAACCAAAAGGTTGGCAGTTCAAACTCACCCAGCGGCTCTGCGGGAGAAAAGACCTGGCAATCTGCTCCTGTAAAGATTCCAAACCTGTTGTCATTGAGCTGATTCTGACTCACAGCAACCCTACTGGACAGAGCAGAACTGCCCCATAGGGATTCCAAGGCTATAAATCTTTACGGAAGCAGATTGCCCCATCTTTCTCCCATAGAGTAGCTGGTGGGGTTGAACCACGCACCTCTCAGTTAGCAGCCTAGCACTTAACCGCTGCACCACCAGGGCTCTCTCCTTAAAGACTACAGTTGAGGAAAACCTATGCGGCAGTTCTATTCTGTCCTTTAGGGTTGCTATGAGTCAGAATTGACTCGACAGCACACAACAACAACATATCAAAGAACTTACTATAACAGTAGTGTAATTTGAGAATAAAGACTGTATTTTAGAAGACTGAAGTATGAATTAGCTAGAAACAGAACTTTAAAAATATTCAGTGAAAATAATAGACCTATGCAGACTAATAGTTTACAGCTTAGGTTAGAAACAAGATGAAAGCACTTGTGCTGTGTGATAACTACAGTAAAGATCAGCAATTTTCTAAGGTTTAAATTTGCTGATAATTTTAAAGAACAATTACAATACAGAAATATCTGTATACTCTGAAAAGTCAGACTCATGGCAACCCAATGACTGTCTGAGTAGAACTGTGCTCTATAGCGTTTTTCAATGTCTGATATTTCAGAAGTAGACTGTAAGGCCTTTCCTCTAAAGCACCTCTGGGTGGACTTGAACTTCTAACACCTTTCAGTTAGCAGCCAAGCACGTTAACCATGTGCACCCACCCAGGGATTTAGATGGTCAATAAATCATAAATACTATGATTATTATTATATCACCTCGTATACCACTCTTTAACACTTTTACACATTTCAGTGCCATACCTCTGTCGGAACATCATAGCTGGGTCCATGTTAGCAGAAGTCATTCGAACAACCTGACGAATTTCCTTGGCAATCATTCTTAGCTTCTCAAAGTTTACTAAACCATCTACTTTGGAGTCATTTCCTATAAAATTAAAGTAATTGTTTAATTTTCAAAATTAAAATATCTATATAAAAGCAGCAGAAGTCAAGTTGTTATTCCTGGATGGCACAAATCAGAACCTTCTTTATCAAATTCTAACTTTTATTTATAAGAACTGTTAAATCCACAGATGGCTCAAAGCCTGCTCCCAGAAAATGAGCTATAGACTGGGATGACTTCTTTTTGGTATGGGAGTAATAATTATGAATATAGGAAAGTGATAAACTGATTTTGTGCATAGCTTCTAAAACCAATCTCATTATTTTATAAGCACACCTATAAAATGTGCAGCCCTCTCCAGGTGCCCAGCCCAAGCTAGCACCTGCATCTGTTTTTTGGGACAGCAAAAACAAGTGGTAACTTGCGGGCTATTAAATTCAGGCCATAATCAAGTTTTCTTTGGTTCCCAATATTTTTTTAAAAATTCTTAAATGAGTTATCAACATTTAAGAAGTAAAAGATACCACATGAATACAAGAATTTCTGACTTCTGTTAAAAGAAGAGGCAGGGGCTAAGTAATAGTGGGTTTATTTTCCCAAATGGCAATAATTACACTGTAACTAAAAGGTGGTTGCCTCAGGGGTATACACTCTTCAGTCTGCCATTAACTTTCTCCCTCTCAGTAGCTGAATTTATAATCATGACTTTAATCATTAATGCAAATTCACCTGTTCATATGTTCAATTATTTTTGTTTTTGTTCTTTTAAATAGTTCTCTGAGAAAAATGTCTAAGCAGCTTTCAAAATGGCCTACTTTTCTTTCAAGAGATTAAGTATGAAACCAGACTTAGCCTATTTATTGGTTTACTCAGTCCAAACCGCAAAGCAAAAATTATGTGTTCAAAGGGCAATGTGATTGTCTACAGCAGCACTGTAACAGTTAGCATAACCCAGTTCATCTTCCACGGCAGCCCGAGGTCCCCCTGTGGACGTACAAGGCCCTGAAGCCAAGTGTGAGAACTGTGTGGTCTGAAATACAGGGTAGTGTCCTATCTCACAGGAAGCAGCATCTATACATTGGATACATGAATTGTTCAGGGTCTCAACACGAGTTAGAAACAAACTGATCATCAAAGTACTCTCAAGTCACATAAATCTGTTTTGAGGGAGCATGTTAGAAAAATATGTTTGAAGCCTGTAACAACGTTTCCTTATGAAAAAGGAGTGATAATGAAAGAGTAAACTATGTAATTCAGGAAAATCCTCCTGCTGAGAATAATTAAAAAGCTGGAGAAAACATAAAAAAAAAATACATGTGAAGACATTGGAGAGCTAACAAGGCAGTGAGGAATTAGAGAGTCAAGATCAGGAGAAGGCAGCAGAGGGATAGGTTTAGCGTTTCCCAGTGCTTGCCCATCCAGGCATCTGCTGATTTCAGAAAAGGAAGATGATAAGCTGAAAAACCAAGCAGGGCCACCCAGTCTTTTAGGTTAGAGAAAAAACAGCTTAAGGCCAGGCAAATCCTCAATGCTTTGTGTTGGGACCCTGAAGGGCTACATTCTGGGACTAAGGATGCAGTGAATATAGACCAATGTTAAATTATGTCAAAAATTAAAAATGGATTAAGGTGATTTTGGATTACTTTCACCTAGCTGCCTGTCAGAAACAGGTTTTAGTTCTCTCTGGAGGAATGGAACATCACCCAAAGCCTCAGATTATTTCTGTAATTTCTTATACACAACATCCATTACTTTGTCAAAAATAAACAGGTACATCAAAATAAAAGGTAACAGGATTAAAATACAAGAGAAAAAAGAGACAATAGAAACGGACCCATAGGGATCCAGATTATAGAGTTAACAGAGACAGATTTTAGGGACACAGTGATAAGGTCTAACAGAAGTGAGATAAGAGTACTTAAAGACATGATGACTTAGAATTTTCTAAAACTGATGAAAAATATCAAGCCACAGGATTTAAGATGCCTATGAACAGGCAAAACTAAACCGAAATATTAGAAGTCAAGAGAGCAGTGATAGCAGTTACCTTTGGGCAAGAGCATGAGGGTAGTATTTTGGGAAAGAGCATGAGTGGGGCTTCTGGGATGCTGACAATGTTTTATGTTTTGATCTGGGTGTTAGTTATATGGGTGTTTGCTCTGTCATAATTCATTACATTGCTATGTATGTATAGAAGACTTCAACAAAAAAAATCAAGAAAAAAAGTTGAAAGATAAAATATTACCAAACAAAACAAATATTATCAAACAGATCTTGGTGTCAGTCAATTTTACGTTTGAATGCATAAACACTTAAATTCGTTCTCATCAACAACGTGGCTTTTGGATTCCTAAAATTTACTGCATTTAAGTGTGTAAAGCTTGGAGTGACATGTAATCATTAGGCTTAAATATATATAACAAATAACAATTCTGTAGAATTAGCTGAAGCTAAACATGCTAATTTTCAAATACCTTCATGTAGAAATGTCATATCCTTCTTGACAACAGGGAAGAGTGGAATAATTGGAGGCTGCATACTCTGACTACTAAGAATATTTCTATACTTTGCCATGTTTCTAGATGGATCAAAAAGGTCTTGTAGGTCTTGAAGGTGTTTCTCATACTTGTTTGGTAACTTTTCCCAAGTACCTCTTAGTCGTGCTACAGGTGCCAGGTTCAAGCCACTGCCAAAGATGAGAATAAAACCATTAAAAAAGGACTTGGGGGTTGGGGGAGAGGCACTCAGGTCAGTAAAGTGCATTCACCAAGTTTCTCTAATAAAGCTAAAACTATGTGGGGACACTGTTGAAATAAACAGAGAACTACCAAAAAAAAGTACTCTTTGGATCTTCTCTCAGAGGAACTACTTTATTTGCCTATAGTTAGTTGTATATGTGTAACCTTTATTTTACAGTTAGCGTGTAAGTGTCACATATGACTCCATAACACAAACATCTAACTTAAAATACTTTCTAGCATCACAATGCTTTTATTTGTTTTACCTAAAAATAACTTTATGGAGACATTATATATTTGAGAGTGGTTTAATTAACGATGAACACAGCTGTTAAATAATCACTGAGGCAAGTTCTGGGACCGAGGCATCCTTACTTCTGAGATTTTGTTCAGTCCCATCACTGATACCAACACTTCCATATCTCTAGGTTCTAATACTGTCCCCTAACCTTCCAGATAGTCAAAGTCTCCTTTCTATAGGATTTTAGACAAGTTTAGATACCCCCCCCACTTGAAAATAATTCCTGCAAATTAGGCTGCAACTCTTCCCTATGCCTTTACCTCTATATTACTCTCCCATGGCTAGGCTCCTGTATGAGTAGTGTATGTACACTGCCTCAATTTTCTTACCAGTTAATCACTCTTTGATTTTGAGCCATCTGACTTTCACCCACACTACTGTATTTAAAATGTTCTCTTGACTTCTACTTTTAAGGTGTAGAGTCAAGACATCTTTGTTCCTTTTGGTTCTCAGGAATCACCCCAAACAACTACAAAAGGGATGGATAACAGAACTGTAAATTCACATCCACAGGGATGAATAACAGAGCTGTAAATTCACACCCACTAAAATTAAGAGATATATGTAACCCTTATACACTCTGGAAACCTGATGCTGCTGAACTGATTCTGACTTATGGTGACCCCAAGTGTTACAGAGTAGAACTGCTCCATAGAGTTTTCTTGGTTGTAATCTTTTACGGAAGCAGATTGCCAGGCCTTTCTTCCATAAACACATTGGAAGGCCTGCCAAAATACAGTCAAGGTCAAATCTGAGCATGCAAAGATGCTACAGCTGAAGATCTCAATGAAAGCTGGCAAAGCACAGTTCTCCAAAGCAGATAACTTACCGTGAGAGTAAAAATAACAAACCCTTATTTAGAAAAATAGAACAGGGTCCACAGGCTGACAGAATTAGGAGGGGGCTAGATCCTTGTCTTTACCATGGAACAACAGAGAAGGTAAGATTAAACCAGTACACACGCTGATATAACATCTTGGTAGGAAGCAGTCTGACAGTGAGGCAGGGTAGAAGGGAGAAACTCTGAAGTTGTAAGCAGATTTAAATTGAGCTGCCAAGCTCCATTTGCTGGGGTGAAGCAAAGGGTAAAATAATTCACATACTCAGTTAGGGCCAACTCCTGCTAGCCAGGAATACTGTCCTCACTTCTCTCTCACATGAACCTCCTCAAATAGCTGGTACAGGAAAACTAATCTCATTCAAAATGAAGGAATGAACACAGGATCTATACCAAGTTATTACAAGGAAATATAAACAGCTAAAGAGCACAGAGCAGAAAAATGTTGCCACCAATCAGATAAAAACTGTGACTAACCAACTATCTAGCCATGATTTTGAATAAATTAATAAAAAAAGGGCTTAATGCAAGAGCTTAGGAAAAATACAGTAAGAGAAGTTGATAAAAAAAATTAACTACCAAAATTTAGGAAAGAAATGAAAAATAAAATAAAACCAACACAGAAATCAAGGCCATTATCAGAACCCACATAAAGAAAAAAAGGCACTGCTAAAAACACTATGTAAGGAACATGGAGGAAATGACTGACAAAAGCAATCAAATGGAAATGGACAGAGGTTAAAAGAATTAGAGAGAAAATAATCGATATGGAAGACAAGCAAAGGAGATCTAAAATCTGCATAATCTGTATCCCTGAAGAAAATAAAAATAATGAAATTGAATAGACATTTCTCCAAGGAACATACACAAATGTGAAAGGATGCTCAAAATCATTCAGTCATCAGGGAAATGCAGATCAAAACCACAATGAGATATCACTTTTTTCATACCCACTAGGATGATTAGAATCAAAAGGTCAGATAATAACAAGTATTGGAGAGAATGTGAAGATACTGGCACCCTCATACACCGCTGGAGCCCTGGTAGCACAGTGGTTAAGAGTTATGGCTACTAACCAAAAGGTCAGCAGTTCAAATCTACTAGTTGCTCCTTGGAAACCCTATGGTGCAGTTCTACTCTTTCCTATGAGTTGGAGTCAACTTGACAGTGGTAAGTTTGGTTTTTTTGGTTTTCATACACCGTTGGTGCCAATGTAAAATGGTGAGACTGCTTTGGAAAATAGTCTGGCACTTTCTCAAACAATTAAACAGTTACCATAAGTACCAGCAATTCCCTCCTAAGTATATACACAAGAGAAGCAAAAACATATGCCCCTAAAAAAAACTTATATACAAATGTTCATACAGAATTATTTACAATAACCAAAAGGTGGAAACTACCCAAATGATCACCAACTGATGAATAAAACCAAAAACCAAACCCACTGCTGTTGAGTTAATTCCAACTCACAGCGACCCTACAGGACAGAGTAGAACTGCCCCATAGGGTTTCCAAGGAGCAGCTGGTGGATTCGAACTGCTGACCTTTTGGGTAGCAGCCAAGCTCTCAACCACTGCATCACCAGGGTTCCAACTGATAAACAAAATGTGAAACTATCCATACAATGGAATATTATTGTCATAAAAAGAAATAAAGTACTGATACATGCTGTATCGTGGATGAACCATGAAAACATCAAGCTAAGTGAAGAAGCCCATCACATAAGACCACATACTATATGATTCCAATTTATATGAAAGTCCAGAATAGGCGAATATATAGAAATAGAAAGTGGTTGCTTAGAGCTGGGGGCAAGGGTACGGAGGCTTTTTGAAGGCTGGATAGCTAACAGGTACATGGTTTCTTTTTGAAGTGATGAAAACATTCTAAAATTGTGGTGATGGTTGCACATATCTGTGAATATGCTAAAAATCACTGAAGTATATACTTTAAATTGGTGAACTGCATGGTATATACAATTACATCTGAATAAAGCTGCTAAAACAAACAAACCTGGATGAAAGAGATGATATTTTAGGGGCTACCAAACTGTAACCAGCAGGCCAAATCAGGCCTATCATCTGTTTTTGTGAACAATATTTTATTGGAATATGCAGCTTATTTATGTATTATTCATGGCTGCTTTTGTGCTACAACAGCAGAGTGGAGTAGGTGCAATGGAGACCAAAACCTAGGCTCACAAACCTAAAATATTTACGGAAAAAGTTTGCCAAACTCTCCTTTAAGAAACACTGAAACCAAAAGATACAAAATCTCAGAAGATGATAAAGAAGGATATTTAAGAACACCAGCCCTAGATTGTTTCACAGGTGAAGTTTTTAAACCTTCGACCAACTGATTATTTCTAACGCTATTTAAACCGTTGTAGAGCATAAACAAAGAATGAAAAGGTTCAAATCTCACAAAGCCAGCATAATATTGATACTAAAACCCAAAAATAAACAGCACAAAACAACAAACCAAGAAAAACATCATTAATTCACTTATGAAAGCTGATACAAAAATTCTATATAAACAATTGCAAAGAGGATTTTATAATGTATTAAAAGGAAAATGCACCATGAATGCAGAGTTCATGCCAGGTTAGAAGGATAATTCATCCTTAGAAAACTATTAAAATAATTTACAACACTAGCAGGTAAAGAGAAAAAATGATGATACTTTACATATAATACATATCTTTAAATATATTTATGATGAAACACATTTATATATAAAATATCATACAATAAAATTCAATATTAATTCTCAACTTCTTGAATGTCAGTAAATAAGAAAGAAAACATAATACATTTCTCAACCCAAAGACAGTATAATGTTTAACAGAGAAACACTGGAAACATTCCTAGATTAAGTATCACAAATTAAACATAAAGGTTCACAATTACAATTATTATTTAACATGGAAGTATCAGCAGATGCAAATAGACAAGACAGATAAATGGAATGAAGGAGGTATTATTATTATTTGCAGAAAACTTCAAGAAAATTTACTGAAAAGTATTGGAAACACGACGATGATCAGAGTAAGGTGTCTATGTACAAAACCGATATACACAAGCATTAGAATAGCCAGACAGAAACAACAATTAGTTAGAAAATATAAGGATTCCACTTGTAACAGTATTAAAGATACTAAACATAAAAAAATGCAAAATTTATATGAAGAAAGTTGTAAATTCCACTCAGGGACAGAAAAGAAAATTCGAACAAATGGAATTAAGTGGTCTTAGGTAGACAGAGCCATTGTTATAAAGCCTCTCCTAAGTTAATCTATATATTTAATGGAATCCCAAATGAAAACACCAGAAAGACTTTTTAAAAGAACTAGATAAACTGATTCTAAATTTCATTTTACTTGGATCCAAAATCACTGCCCATGGAAGCCGCAGGCAAGAAATCAAGCAACATTACTGCACTGGGCAAATGTGCTGTAAAAGATCTCTTTAAAGTGTTAAAAGACAAAGATGTCACTTTGAGGACTAAGGTGCGCCTGACCCAAGCCACGGTATTTTCAATTGCCTCATACGCATGTAAAAGCTGGACAATGAATAAGGAAGGCCAAAGAAGAACTGATGCCTTTGAATTATGGTTGTTGGTGAAGAACACTGAATATACCATGGACTACCAGAGGAACGAACAAATCTGTCTTGGAAGAAGTATGGTCAGAATGCTCCTTAGGATGGCAAGACTTTGTCTCACATACTTTGGACATGTTACCAGGAGGGACCAGTCCCTAGAGAAAGACATTATGCTTGGTAAACTAGAAGGTCAGCGAAAAAGAGGAA